CTCTCTCTCTCTCACACACACACACACACACACACACACCTGCTTCTGTATGTGTACATATATGTGCATGCTTATTTCATAGTTGTGTACTTCACATTTCTACTTCAAGAACATACTTCAGGTACTAATTAAATTTTGTATATTAGTGGATGAATGTGATAGAAGTAACATTAGCACTATATTAATTAAAGATGTGTACCATGACTGCTTGTCATATGGAAAGTGTTTAATAGATGCCTGATGAATTTATTACCTTAAAAAGGCATTTTTTTATCTTTGAATGACAGGTAAAATTTGTTAGAACTTGCTTTTTTTTCTTACTCTGATTTAATTTTATATATGGTGATTGGTTATGAAATCCCTAAACTTCTTAGACTAGATTATCCTGAACAACAAGGAAAAAACTGTAACAATTATATTGGTTGATATTTTGGTTTAAACATTATGTCTCAGAGAAGAAGATACATAGTTACATAGTAGCAGAAACTATTGCTGTATATTTAAATTTGAAAATATCTTTCCAATTCACAGAATTTATGAAACCTTAAAGGTAGTTTTTCAAAAAGATTTTTATGAACCTTTAATTATAGGAAATGTCTAACATATTCAAAAATAAGACTAGTGTAATGAATTCCTTTGTACCTATCACAGAGCTTCAGCAATTACCAATCCATGACCAAATTTTAAAGTCCTACACAGTCTCTCCCATGTAATCTTGAAGCAAATCCCACATATTTTATAATTTCAACCATAATTATTTCAGTATTTGTCAATAATAGGATGTCTTAAAAATGCTATTATTGGCTAGGCACTGTGGCACAGAGCTGTAATCCCAGTGGCTTGGGAGGTGGAGGCAGGAAGATCGTGAGTTCAAAGCCAGCCTTAGCAAAAGCAAGGCACTAAGCAACTCAGTGAGACCCTGTCTCTAAATAAAATACAAAATAGGGCTGGGGATGTGGCTCAGTGGTCGAGTGCCCTGAGTTCAATCCCTTTTACCCCCTCCAAAAAAATGCTTTTAACACATTCACCCCAAATTGCAGCAGTTCCTTAAAATAATTAAAAATATGGTAAGTATTCACTTTCCCCTAATAGTCTTCTTATTTTTTATGCAATTTGCTAGTGTGCATCTAGATCCAAGTAAGGTACATACATTGTGATTAGTTGATATATCACAGTTTGTTTGAATTTATAGATTTCTCCATTGTAGACTTTCATATCCCAGATCCATATTTCTTTACCTCCCTCTCTCCTTCTTTTTCTCCCTCCCTCCCACCGCCCCCACATGGTATTCAGTAAATTATGTTGTAAAAATTGAAACATCCAGGGTTAGAACTGTAGCTCAGTGGTAGAGCTCTTGTCTAGCACATGTGAAGCCCTGGGTTCAATCTCCCAACACCCCAAAAATAATAATAAAAAGTACATACATACAAGTGGTTGCATCAGTAATACAGACAGAATCTTAGGATTTTAGGGGCAGAAAGGAATTCAGAGATCATTTAGCTTTGTATCAGATGACAGCACTATTGCCCAGTTTAATTAAGTCCTGAGTGTGGCCTGACTTGTGAATACAGAGGCCAGAATCTGACAAATTTCAAACCTAACTCAAGTTGATCTTATTTTTCTATTATGATCACAGATAATGACTATTTTTTAATATAATGGTAGTAACTTTTTTAAAAAAGTTTTTTAGATATATATTTTTAGTTGTTGATGGACCTTTATTTTATTCATTTATTTATATGTGGTGCTGAGAATCGAACTCAGTGCCTCACGCATGCTAGGCAAGTGCTCCACCACTGAGCCACACCCCAAGCCCAGATTATGACTATTTAATTGTGGCTTTATTCTTAATTGTGCACATACTAATATTAAGTAGAACTGATCACCAAATATTTATAATCACAAAATATCCTGACTTTTATAAGAGTTACTTGAACATGGTGGCAAAGAAATTCAGATTTCATTGTTGTCCAACTTCATTTTCATTCATAGCTTGCCTCACATTTAAGATATAAATGTGGGCTGGGGATGTGGCTCAAGTGGTAGCACGCTCGCCTAGTGTGCATGGGGCACTGGGTTCGATTCTCAGTACCACATAAATGTGAAATAAAGATACTGTGTCTACCTAAAAACTAACTAAATAAATATTTTTTAAAAAGATATAAATGTATCTTCAATTTTAAACACTTAATTTTTTTTTTTTACTTTTTGATGGGCCTTTATTTAATTTATTTATATGTGGTGCTGAGAATTGAACCCAGTGACTCACACATGCTAGGCAAGTGCTCTACCACTGAACTACAACCCCAGCCTAATTTTAAACATTTTAAAAACATTAATTAACTTTTTTTTAAAAGAGAGAGAGAGAGAGAGAACGAGAACTTTAATATTTATTTTTTTAGTTTTCAGCAGACACAACATCTTTGTTTGTATGTGGTGCTGAGGATCGAACCCGGGCTGCATGCATGCCAGGCGAGCGCGCTACCGCTTGAGCCACATCCCCAGCCCAACTTTAATTAATTTCAAATCATTGTTATAAAACTAAAAATATTCCTTTATTGTTTTTAAATCCTGTAGCTACAGGAACATTTTCAGTTATTTATTATAATCTTGAGAAAGTTTGCATTTTCTTTCTATAACCATTAATAACCATGGGTTTTTAGTTTGAATTGAATTTCTTATTTTCCTAATTCCTTATTTTAAAAAGTTTAGATCATGTTTATTTAGTGATGCATCAAGCTAAGACGAAGATGAAACTGACTTTTAAAAATATGTGGCAAACTACTCCCATGATACAAAAATATTGTGTTTCATCAGGTATAAAAACTCAATTGTTCAGTGCCCCTCATCTATGAAAACAAAAGCCAGGCTGAGAAATTATATTCTGGGGCATCACTCATTTTTCTTTGTAGTGTTCGATGGTATTTAGTTTTTGTTTGATGAATGTTCTATTAGCAATGAAGAGCAGTTAGCAAATTCATAAAACAAAGTTTCAGGCAAAGTTAGCATAAGCATATGATTTTGTGTTTGAATCCTAAAATTCTTCCCTTCTATAGTGTTTGCTCTCTGCAAATACTCATATTTAATACTGACAGTATTTCCCCCAATAAGGTAAACATCACTCATGTTCATGATCTTTCCATTTACTCATTTCTTTTGCTTTTCAAATAGAATGCTTGTGTGTCCTCACCCAGCCCCCAGCCTAGTATGCCTCCCAGACAGCCTCCTTGCCAGTAAACAGGGAGAGTTTGCAGACAAACTTGACCGAATTTAGAGACATCAAAGCCATGGTCTGTCTCAGTGACTCCCAGTTCTTGTTTAGTGTACGGGCACATGGAAATTCTATTGTACTTGGGGAACCTTATCAAAACAGTGATCCACCCCCCACCCCACCCCCACCCTTATACTTGTTTTCTAACATGGACAGGACGAATGCTATTTGGTTTTGGAGGGCCTGGCTCACAAAACAGTGGTTGTTTCTCAGGAGTAGTAATGACTTAATCACTGAAGTTGAATAAAAATTTGTTCAAATGAAAACTAGCCATTTTAAACTTTCTCTGTTTTTGTCATCAATGTCCTCAAGAGCTGTCTCACAAGAACATTTGAAACAGATTGTTGCTTCTCTAGATTATTCTTACATAGTCAGTGATTGGATTGCCTAAGTATTTGCTTTAATTAGATGCAGCACACCTGGCAAAAGGGGCAGATTTCAAAATGAGGGTATACTACCAGTCTATATGTCATGGAAATTAGAAATACCTGATTCTATCTAAGTTGTTATTTTGATTATTCACAAATCCCTTCATGTATTAGGAGTGACAAGGCCCTGGAGCTGACACTATGGTTCCTACTGGGTTTCTCATTTCTATATGTAATGTTTATACGAAGTGAGACAGGTTGTTTTCTTCCCACTCTGCACATATTTCCTACCTTTTTCATCCCTCCCACCTAACTATAAAGCTGTATGATGTGACTAGCCTCCAGTTTGAGTATTTAATACGAAAGCCATTATAGAACTTATTTCTTAGAGTAATGCCTTTATTAATTGATGTGGTTTTTTTTGTAGCAAATCATTTTTACCTGTTTGTGGTACTCTGTAGGGCCTATGTTTATGTGTGTGTATATGTATTTGTGGATGGGTGGGAGAACACTCAAAGTGGGACAATATGTGTGTATTCTCTGTATTTACTCTTGGTTCCAAAGATATTTGGGCTTAAATCATATGTCCAGGCTTATGATATTGATAACCTCTACTTGTAACAAAAAATTGACACTTGACACTGGGTGAGTCCTATGTCCTCATGCTTAAATATAGTTTCATGATGACCGATATGGCAAAACCTCAATTAAGATGTTTCAAGAAACAGGATTTTCTAGTGTCCTTGATGCTAAACAGAAACCCCCTTACACTGAGATGAATGCCACTATTGGCTTCAAACCTCATTGGTGAACCCCCCTCCCCAGTATATTGATACATTTTCTTGCTTAAAGGCATTGAAGATGACAATTCTCTTATTTATGTATGTATGTATGTATGTGGTGCTGGGGATCAAATGCAAGGCTTCATACACACTAGGCAAGTACAATACCACTGAGCTACACCCCCAGCCCAGCAGACTTTTTGAAGAGAATTCTGGGTCCCATTTAGAATCTTGGGGCTTAAATATTCTGTTTTTATCAGATGGGGCTGTAGAGGTAGAAAATAAAGAAAAATGGGGCCTAGATCTGGCTTATACTCTGCAAAGCAAAGATGGTGCTACACAATTAAGTCATTCAAGGAATCTGTGAATTGTATTCCTTCTGGTTAATTGAGGTTTTCCTATTCTTAAATTACAATCTTGAGATGGCTTCCAGGTTTAACTGAGCATAATCTATATGCTGGTCACTTGCATAGGCAAACCCCAAATCTGGGTGCTCATTGCTATCATGGTTGCATGGGGACTTTGGGCTCATTCTGTAACCTTAAATTCTGCCTAATGGTCTCTAATTAATTTTGTGGATGAAGCTCTTGCAGCAGATTCATTGAAGGCAAGTTCAGTTAAAGACTCTTCCTCTTCCTTCTTTTGCCATCATTTGCTTCCCCTTCCCCCCTCTCTTGTTTTTCTCTCCCCTTCTCTTCTCTCATTCACTGTCAGGAAAGACTACCTTTGAAGGGACAATTCTGTATCGAGCTGCACCTGGAAAGACGGAGGGCCACAGACGCTATTACAGTGAGTGACCTTAACAGCAGGAGGCAATTGTAAAGATAAGATCTGGGTACTTGTGTTTTTTGACGCAGCTGCCCTTTCCTGAGCTGCTCATGCTTATGCTCTTATGCCAAGTGTCTGTGTGAATTTCTGATCCAAGGATATGGGCTTATTTGCCTACGATAAGTGTCATCTCCTTGGTGTGCGCTACAAGAGCATTCCAACCATCAGCCCCTGGCGCTTTCTTGTTTGCTTTCTGCCTCTATCATGTATGTGACTTGCATGCATGAACCATGTGGTGCAGAGAAGGGGAAAGAAGCATTCGTCGTGGCACATGTATTTGTACCAGTGTCTTTGGGCTTCCGGGATACTAGAAGTTGGCTTTTGGGAGAGACGTCAACCTCTCACATTTATTGCTTTTTCTCAGTGGGTTATTAGAAACTAACTGCTAAACCATTATGTCATTGCTTGGTTCAAAGAAATAAGATTTTGGCATGAAAGTCCATGCCAGAAATGGTGTTTTGCTTTGCTCATTCAGCTAATCACCACATGGCAGATTTCTTTTTGGCAGGACCAATATGTAGCCTTTTGTGTTGTGAAATAAGGCTGCCAAAAGTTGAGGGGAAAGAGATGAATGAACTCATCTCATGATGCCCTTAGAATAGTTCCTGCTACATAGTAAACACTATATATGTGTGTGTTAAATTTAAAATAAATAAGAATGGCTCTGATTAGTGCCAGAAGAGTGCATTATACAAAGTACAGGACCAACAGGAGCAATTTAGAAGAGACTTTGTTCTTTTGTTACCTGAAGGAAGGGCATCCACCTTAGTGCATGTTTATACGTATGCATATAGGCATATGTATATGGATGTAAGAAAATAAAAGGTTCAAACGTGAATGCTAGAACCATGCTTCTCAAACTATTTGAGTGAAGCTTATTTTTCTTCCACTGTGGACAGATGCATGGTCCTACTGCACATGACTGCTCCACATGCAGTGTGCTGCCTGTGCCTCACCAAAAGAGTTTAATAGCACCTGGATTGGCCTGTGCCCCATTCACGTGGACACATCAACTGACCATATGGTTGGAAGTCACACCAGTGCATACCGCTAAAATGCTATAGTCATTTCCAAACTTACATACTTTTTGCACTTATCTCATGATGTCCTAGTAATGAGTCCTTCATGAACTGGGCCAAGTCCATAGTAAATTCTTTGGATTGCACTGCTCAAGAGTGTCATCTGGCATTCTGAGAATGACATGGGGACGTTTTATGGGCTAATGTGCATGAAGGACTGCAGTAGCTAAAAGATGCAGCACCAAATTAATGTGAAAGTGGAGTTATCTTTCTTCTCTTCCAAAGGGAAGGATCTGGATATTGAGTTATTTTACCAATGCATATATTCAGCTATTTAATTTACATACTTAAAAATGACAGAACCAACCAGGTGCGGTGGTGCATGCCAGTAATCCCAGCTACTCAGGAGGCTGAGGCAGGAAGGATCACAGCCTCAGCCCCTGAGTGAGTCCCTGTCTCAAAATACAAAATAAAAAAAGGGACCCGGTGGGTGGTGCACACCTGTAATCCCAGTGGCTTGGGAAGCTGAGACAGGAGGGTCGTGAGTTCAAAGCCAGCCTCAGCAATTTATCAAGGCACTTAGCAACTCAGTGAGACCCTGTCTCCAAATAAAATACAAAATAGGGCTGGGGATGTGGCTCAATGGTTAAGTGCCCCTGAGTTGAATCCCCACTACCAAAAAATAAAAATAAAAATGGCTGGGAGGGGGGGCGTGTAACTCAGTGGTTGAGTGCCCCTGGGTTCAATCCCCACTGCTGCTTTAAAAAAAAAAAAAAGAAAAAGAAAAAAAAAGAAAAAGAAAAAAGACGACAGAAACAGGCTGCCAGAGTTTCTGAAAGAAAAATCTGCCGTGTGTTTCCTTCTCAAGTCATGCTTGTGTGGTTGAATGACTGTGCAATCTCTCCCTGTGTAATATAGAATATATCTCACAGAGATTAATATAAGTTATTAAGATGAGCCCAAAGGCAGAAAATCCCTAAAACTGGAAACTTGGTGAAATTAGGATGGCAATGGTTAAAAATGTTATGGTTCTAGTTAATGGGTAATGCTAGAAGATCCCTTTGAATACACTCTCTGAAGAACTAAAACAGGCTTGCCCTAATCCATCTGCCCTGCTGCCTTCTGGTGGTGATGGTGGTGGTGGGAGGGAGGAGGGTGGTGATGGTTTCTTTCCACTAATCATTATTTTTATTTTACCTTCAAATGGTTTTTTCCAAACCAGAAAAGAATATACAAGCCGTTTATCACATAGAAAGAATCCATACGGCAAAATGAGAACATGTTAAAAGGAAAATGACACAATATTTAGACTTTGAAATTATATCTCCAGCAGGAATATTTCCAAAAACAATGAGCAGATAAACACATGAATGGATAACTAACCCAGGGGGTTTTTCCATGTTTGCACACTCAAATCTATTCCTGAGTTGCAGCTGACCCCCTTGTTGTGGGCCGCTCCTCATTGTTTTGTGCTCTGTTCTTGCTCACAAATGCTGTTCTTTTAGTTAATTAAAATCTGCACCAGGGACCTTCTTCCTCCTCCACCCTCTGGCTTACAAATTCAGTTTTATGAAAAAATAGCAGTAACAACAAAGAAAACCATTGTTTAAGGATTTGATTTTGAAACTTGTTAGCAATTTCTAATGACCTTTCTATGTATTTCGGGTTTTCATTTAATAGTTTCTTCCTGCACTGAGATGTCCTCATTTGAATGACTTCAGCATCTTATATAAAAATACCATAAAATGTGAGCAATTATTTGGTGTATCGTTTTTATGGACTAGGGGGCCACCTGAACTGTAGGAAGACAATGCAGGATCGGCCTATAGAGAACAAAATTTGATGACATACTTTCATCCTAAGAGCATCGTTATGATCAGGAGATATGTAATAAATGGTCAGGAGCTATGCTACACATCTAGAAGCTTTGAGAGACAGTTTAATGATAAAATTTAGTATTCCATAAAATTTCCTCTGAATCCTATCCTTTGATGGCAAAATTGATGTACTGATTATCCAAAGAAGAATGTATACCCAGAAACTTAACTAGATCCAGATAGGCTCTTCCTTTTAGGAACATGATTGTGAGGAAGCTGGGGGAAAAAAGAATCTGGGGAGGTAAGTGTCCATAATGTCTTGCTGATACCTGGTTTATGCCTCCCAGCACATGCCACAGGAGGTCAAAGGAAGAGTGTCATGTCCCCAGTGTTCTTTGGAAAGGGATTCAGCTATGGGAAGAGGATGGTGTTAAAGGAGGGAAGGAGAGCCATAGACTTGGGGGATTCTGGCCTCTGGAAGGGCAGCTTTCTTTCCCTCTTTAACAAACACCATCGTCTTTCTAGTGAAGCCATCTTAATGTCAAGTTTGGTTCAGTGCTTTCCTAGAAAAACACGTCTGCATGTGTTTATTCCTCGTGAAACCATCCAAAGAGATTTAATTCTTTGGCAGTCATAATTTTGTGTGGTTTCTTTAATTGCTAATGTGTTTAAATCGCTTTAAGCTTTACAGTTTCCCTTTAGGAAACGTTACTTTCATTGCTAATTGCTAATTGACTTGACTCAGAGTTGGAGGTACAGTATGTGGTACTGACTGGGTGGGGAGGTGAGGAAGGGGGCTGGGAGAGTTGTTATTACACAGGCTCTAGCCAAGTTTGGATCACAACCAGGCTCCAGCTGAAGAGGGGTGAAATGTCATTTGTTCAAAAAGGTCTCCTGGAAATTAGGTTTTCTGAGAAGTTATTTTGATTCACTGTTTTCAAAAAAGGCTGGGGGGCCAGGTGTGGTGGTACACACCTGTAATCCCAGTGGCTCTAGAGGTTGAGGCAGGAGGACTGCAAGTTCAAAGCCAGCCTCAGCATCTTGGTGAGGCCCTAAGAACTCAGCGAGACACCGTTTCAAATTAAAAAAGGGCTTGGGATGTGGCTCAGTGGTTAAGCATCTCTGGGTTCAATCCCCTGTACCTGCCACTCCCCACAAAAAGGCCAAGGGTTGGGAGATTAAACAAAACTCAGCTAACTAAACAGCATATTCAACACACTGACTTCAGAAGCCCAGTGCAAGTTATCTTCTACCCAGTAACACTTGTAGAGTTGCCTCCTGGCTGGTTGTGAAACTCTTCAGGCTCTGGATGATTTCTGAGTTCTTTCTCTCCCCATCCCCACTCTTGACAGGCTTAAGGGAAACCACAGGCTCCGAGAGTGATGGAGGTGACTCCAGCAGTACCAAGTCTGAAGGTGCCAACGGGACAATGGCAACTGCAGCCATCCAGCCCAAGAAAGTTAAGGGAGTGGGCTTTGGAGATATTTTCAAAGACAAGCCAATCAAACTAAGACCAAGGTCAATTGAAGTAGAAAACGACTTTCTGCCAGTAGAAAAGGTATGTTTGACCATTTTATTTTATTTCAGTATAATGTGGCATATCCAAAAGTGCATTTTGTGGGGTTTGGTGTTGGAGACTTCTAATGCCTCTTTTAGGGTTTCACTGTCCTCATGTACTGGTTATTTGCCCACCCTGCTTTTTAGCTCTTCCTCTGTGTGGGAATAGATTCCTTTAAAAGACTCATACTCTAGTTTTCTGTTTCCTTTTTTCTGGCTCTCTTGGGTTAGTCTGCTTTGCCACTATAATGAAATACCTGAGATAGTTAACAAATAAAGGTAAGAAATTGGGGCTGGGGTTGTGGCTCAGTGGTGTAGCACTTGCCTAGCATGTGTGAGGCACTGGGTTTGATCCTCAGCATCACATAAAAATAAATCAGTGAAAGTATTGTGTCCATCTACAACTAAAGAAACTATATTAAAAAAAGATTATTTTGGCTCACAGTTTTAGAGGTTCTAGTCTGATTGGTCAACCCATTGTTTTGGGCCTGTGGTGAGGCAGCACATCATGGCAGGAACACGTGACAGGGCAAAACCACTCACTTCATGAGCCAGGGAACAAAGAGAGGAACGTGCTGGAGTCCCACAGTCTCCTTCAGAGGCATGCCCCCAATATCCTAAGGATCTGCCATAACACTCCAGCTCTCAAAGGTTCCATGACCTCTCAATAGCATCACCCTGGGGATCAATCCTTTAATACATGGGTCTTTGGAGGATATTTGAGAACCAAAGTATAGCACCTCTCTAGGGAATGTTTCTCAGGATGACTTTTGAGATGGCCTCACACTTCTCCATCTCCTTTCTTGAAAAGCTCCTCATACCTGTACTTGACACATGCCTTTAACACCTTTCACATACCGAGAAATTTCTCTCCTTTTCTTGTACACTTCTCTAGTGTTTTGTGCTTTGGTGTATTGACTGTGGTTTTGCAATAGAGAAAAGGGATTGTATATTTTTTTCTGTAAGAGTAAGTTGAAGATGATTTCAGACTGCTGAAAAGAAGTCTCCTGCATGTGTGAATGGTGGAAATGGCCTGCATTGACTCCCTGGGTTGTTCCCATTAGGGAGCTGGCTGTTTTCTTCTGTCTCTACTTCTGGGTTGGCAAGACAGAGACTGTGTGTTGCTGCTGAGTACATGGTTGCCATAGTAACACACCCAGAGCCATCACGCTTGTGGCTGCTGATGACGTCTACTGTGGTACACTTCTAAGCATCATAGCCTTGCTTAGGAGTTAATAAATACTGTGGAATTTTCCAAATTATAATAAGCTACACTCGTGCTGTGCTTAAAGAATGTTTGTTAATTTGATTTAGTGCTGAAATTTTTGCTTTGACATTTGTGCCAGCAGGTTTGGAAGATGGAGAATTTGTCACATCTCTAATGCAGGTTTATCAGTGGCTTTTAAATGTTTTCATTTTTCAGTGAGATGAAATTTTAAGGGTTGCATCATTTTCTGCAGCTGTAGAACTTCCACCCCATGGCCCCAGCAACCTTGCCCCATGTCATCATGCATTAGAAACAGATTCTGAAAAGGGAGCTTTTGGGATACTTAATCCCTTTAGAGATGAATAAGGGAAAAAGGGAAGAAATCTTGAAATTAGAGACCATTTCTTCCTTTGCTGAAGTTGCTTGGAGCCAGCATTATTTCTTTCAGTATTCAATATATGATGTTTCTCAAGATCTGAGAACTATCTAGTTAGTATCCAGTTAGTGAGCTTGTGAACTCACTTCTGTTTCACATGATCACATTCAGATTCCTATAAGTATTTACGAAAGACCAAATCACCATCTTGGAAAGGAACGATGGATGGAGTTTTTCTCCATTTTATTCAAGTGTTTGAAGTAAACTTGACCATTGACTCAATTAACAAATAGTTCATTCCCTTCATTTGGTTTATATTTTTGGTCTTTTTTTATTCTGTGTGTAGGAAGACATTGTGTGTGTGTGTGTGTGTGTGTGTGTGTGTGTGTGTGTACGCGCGCATGTGTGTGCATATGTGACTATTATTATTGCTAATATTTGATTTAACTGCCAATAATATTGGGTTATTATTAATAGCAATATCAACGAAAAATACTAATTCCCAAGTTTATTTATTTTTGAGATAGTCTCATTATGTTGCCCAGGCTGACCTTAAACTCCTGGGTTCAAGTGATCTTCCTGCCTTAGTTCTGAGTACTAGGACTACTTGTACATGCCACCGTACCTGGCTATTCCAGATATAGGTTTAACTTCCTACTTCAGTATTTCTGCTTGGAGATCTTAAATTCATATCGGTTTATCCAAACCCAAATTCCACATCATCTTTCTCCTCTACCCACATATATCTTAGTTTTAGGCTGCACCTCTTGTCACTCAGAGCAAAAACCCTGGGGTTGACCTTGACTGATTCATTAGGAAATTCTATCAGTTCTGCTTCCACAGTATGTCCAGAATCCACCCACCCATGTCTCATTATCTTCACTACTTCCTAATAAAGCTTCTTCCTTCTCCTCACTAATGTACACTATGTGCTTAGAACAGTGCATAGCACATAGTAGGTGCTCAATAAGTATTTGTCAAATATTAAAAGCTGTATAATAGAACTTTAGAGATTACAGACATCTATAGAAAGGGGTGACTGGGTGGAATACTGGAATAGCTGCATAGTTCAAGTTAAAGTAATTGTATGGTCAATGCATCTTTGTGAAATAGATTTATTGCATTAGTATTGATGGTATGAAGCATTATTATTAATAGCAATATCAATGAAAAATATTAATTCTATCAGAGTTATGTAATATATATGCATGTGTGTCTCATGTGTGCATGTGTGCGTGTGTCTTGTTTCCTGATTTGTTTGCAGAATGAAACCATGTGCTGGAAACTCCCTTAACCCACTTCTCAGTGTGAAGCCTCTGGGGAAAACATAAATTTCCCAGCCTGCTCTAATGGCTGTGGACAATTTTTATAACATCTAAGAAGATTTGAAACTATCTGTGCTTCCTGTGATTGGTACCATGGGTAGTTGCATAGATTTATGGATCCATTATGTCATTATACAACCTGGCACAAGAGCTGATGAGTGTGATATTGTTTTATTAGCGTACAGCCTGGTTCTCATCACTTCTGAGATGGTTTTGTGTCCAGGATTTATGTTTAAGGAAGAAAGTTTCCTTTGAGAATGGAGCTGCTCTTTTGATTTGGCAGAAACACAAATTGGATCTTGTACGAAAGCATTTGAAAGGTTAGTCCCAAGCATGCCTCCTGCTTAGGCTGGGATAGTTGACCTTCTGACATGACTGGTTTGATAACTTGGATGAGGGAAAAAGAGAAGTTGATTATTATTATTGTCTGCAGGCATTAAATTGTACTTTCCATTCAAGTTTGCAAAGTATTGACATCCACTTTTCTGCATCAGTAATTTTGTGCTTATTTTGATTATGTTTTAATCCATATCACCCAGAGATAGTGATTAGATTATATGCCAGGAGAGAGATTGTTTAGCATCCCCCTGCTGACTATGAATAAAGAAATAATGTAGGTATTCTTCTCTTATTAAATTATAAGGAAGGACTCCATTTATGAACCTTTTTAATACTCCCAAATGGATATGCCTGTGAATGATTTGTGTAATGCACCACTTAAGTGAAATATTTACAGATGAAATGATATAATGTCTGGGATTTGCTTCCAGTAGACTGGAAGATGGACGAGTTGGTAGGGCATAGAAGAAATTATATTGGTCATGAGTTGATAACTGTTGAAAGTGAGTGATGCATATATGAGAATTTGCTATACTCTGCTCTATTATTGTGTGTATTGGAATTTTCCCTGGATTAAAGGTTCAAGAAAAAATAACTCATAGAAAAATCTACCATTTAAACTAAGAATAAATACAAGTGTGTGCTGCATCAAAATAATGAAAACATTGTGTAGTAAAAGATGAACCAGGTTAAATATCAGAAGTTTAGAGGGGCATGGTTCCATTGTCCTAGCAGACTGACCTTGTCAAAGTTTACTTTAGTTGGAACATCTATAAAATGGGAATAATCTTTTTATGTATTGTACCTCATAGAACTTCAAAAAAAAAAAGGCATGTTAGCTGAAAATACTTTGTAAGCTATACATGTAACTCATTTCAACTAGTGTTTGTCAAGTGCTCACTGTTTGCACAGCACTGGGGATACAATGATAAAGACATATCACTATTCTCAGGGACATATCACTGTCCTCATGGAGTCACAGAAAATACAAGCAATAATAATATTGTCATAATCAGGCTGAGAACACAGTGTAGTATCTTGTAGGAGCTCTCAAACATGGCAGGAAGTCATTAGGAAGACTGGAGAGCATGTGTTTATGTGTATATATACCTACTTCATACAAGAAGTGATTTTAGACTGAGAATTATGGGTCTACTAGGCATTCATCAAGCAAAAAGAACAGAGTTAGCAAGGGAAAGCAACATATATAATGCCTCAAAGAGGGAAAGAGAGCACAGATAGTGTGTAAAGGCTCTAGCAGAAAGTAGGGAAATATGAGAATGGGGGCAGAAGCAGGGCCCAAATCATGAAGAACCTTATGAGACTTGTTAGGAGATTTGGACTTGATCTTGGGGGCAATAGAGAACCAGTAAATGTTTTAAGCATGAAAATAGCATAACCAGATAGGTTGTTTAGAGAAAGAATTCCAGTTACCATGTGAGGAGTGGATTACAGAAGACATGGTGAATAAAATTCAAAAAACAGGTGACAAATTTATATACAATATTTGCTAAAATTTTCAGTAGAGAGATCCAGTTAACTCAGCACTGGTTATTGAAAAGATGATTCCTTCTATGCTGTAGAGTAATCTTTACCTTTCAAATTTGCCTTCATCAGTAACAGTGTTGCAATATAACATGTACAGAAAGGTGTGTAGGACATGCCATATTCATGGTTTGGAATGGTGTCGGTTCTCACTAAAAGTATGTATAGATTCGGTGCAATCCCATTCAGAATATCAAGAGGCTTTTTGG